AACTGTAAGACCTTAGGCGTCACCTTTCTCTCCAGGTCTGTTCCTTCATCTGTATAACCTCTATCCAGGAACACTGAAATTTCACCCACTTGAGCTACATAAGAAAAACAGTTGGGCTTCCCTGGTGGCGCAGTGGTTGAGAGTCCACCTGCTGATGCAGGGGACACGGGTTCGTGCCCCGGTCCGGGAAGATCCCACATGCCGCGGAGCAACTAGGCCGGTAAGCCATGGCCCTGAGCCTGCGCGTCCGGAGCCTGTGCTCCGCAACAGGAGAGGCCACAACAGTGAGAGGCTCGCGTACCGGGAAAAAAAAAAGTCCGTGCAGGGGTAATTGAAATATTCTTTAGATAAATGCTTTTATGTCAGCTTTATTGTTTTCAAGAACACAGAGTAATATGATCTTGGATAACGAAGGAGGTTGGGCAGAATGTCATTGGAAGTACTTTTAATCAAGTATTTTAAATGGTACATAATTAACATTGTTTTAAAGCAAAATGGCCCTTCAAAGGGTGCTTCTTCCCCTTAAGTAATTTACCTGAGAACAGGAACCAGATTAAATAGCAGAGCCATGACATGTGCCACTATGGACCTGTCTATATTTGACACCAAAAGAAATCTGCCTTGTATTATTGTGACAAAATGCCAGGTTACAAAACACCTTGTACAGCATGATCCCAACTTCATAAAATATTCATACCCATTTATCTATGCGGGACGGCGGATCATTTTGGGAACGGACGCTTGTTGCCTGCAGGTGCGGCAAAGTGTGAATTCATTTTCTGCTTTTTCTTTTTACAACATTTAAAAAACAAATAAATGCTCTTTCCATTGGTGAAGGAGGAGCCCGAGGGTCCGGCCTGCAAGGGCGAGGCTCCCCTGCAGCGGAGAGGGGCTACGAGAGGAGGGCCGCAGGTGCAGGGACTCGGGGCCGGCTCCCTCCTGCCTGCGGGAGGCTCCACTTACCCCACGAGGGAAACGGGCGCGGACGGCGCAGCGAGAACTGGGTGGAAGTGGGGGGAAAGGGAAGCGGTGGACCGCCGGGTGCGCGGGTCTCGCCGGGCGCTGCGGGGGCGGGGCGGCTGGGGCGGAGCGCATGGGGGCGGAGTCTCGGCGTGGGACGGGTCTCGTCGGGGAAGGGGCGCGAGGGGGAGGGGAAGGTGTGTCGGCGTGGGTGGCGGCTGGCTGGGGACCAGATGAGGGGTGGGGCACTGTTGGGGCGGGGTCTTGGTGGGGGGTTTGGCGTGGGGTCCGCCTGGGCCGGGCTGGGTCGCGGGCGGCTCCGCCCCCCGTGGCTGGGAAGGCGGAGCAGACCGGCCTCAGAAGGCGACGGGACTCCGGGCGATGGCGTCGCCCAACGCGCTGCTGGTGATGGGCGTGAGCGGCTCGGGGAAGTAGGTCCGGGAGGGCCGGGGCGCTGGGGGCGCTGGGGGCGCAGTGGGGGGGCGGCGCGGGGCGGCGGAGGCCAGATCCACCGGCGTTCCGGGCCCGCGGCGACGGGAGGGTCCTTTCTCTTTGCTGATGAGGGAACTGAGGCCCAGGGCACCTGCTCCCTCTCCCCACTTGCCAACCTGCTCGCCTCGGGGGCACCCGGCCCGGGGCCATACCCCAGACTTGGGCTCTCCGTCTGTAAATTTAGGCAGAGGCTTTAGCGAAAGCGCCTTGTGAAGAGGCGCCTGCAGGGGCGCGAATAGAGTAACGACTTCCCCGCGCCACCTGGAGCGGCCCGGGCCGTCACAGGTGCCCATGTCTGGGGGCCTCGTGTGGGCCCAGCGTGCAAGGGAGCAAGGCCCACAGAGCAGGGCCAAGCCTCGTCCCAGGCTCCTACAGACTTTTATCAAGCTGGACAGCGCGCCAGCTCCCTCCTGTCGGGCCCTGGACTTTTCTGATTAGATTTTGGAACGTGAATTTAACCTTCCTATTTACTGTGTTCCCCCTTCAACTGTAAGGATTCGGTGTTAAGAAGGTTTGTAAGCAGGGAGGCACACTGCATACCACAAAACCTCTGCCCAGCCCAGTCTGGCCAACTTGGGGGCTGAGGAAGCCTTTGGCTTCCTGTTTAGACCGAAGTCTGACAATGCCCTTTATTATCAGAAAAGGCAGCTACGGCAGCATTCCACCAGAGGCAGCAAAAGACAACTAAAATATCACAACCTCCAAAGGCTTATCCAGTCCCTTCTAGAATGATCTGAATCAGGAACTGCCCATGCGGTCCAGTGTATTTTAAAGACTCTTTCTTTCTCCAGGTAGGTAGGTTTAACTTCCAAAAATTATTGTGTCATTTTTAGCCTCAAAGACAGGGAATCTTGCACTGAAATTTAAAATAAAACACAGAGCCAGAAAGTCCCTCACTGTGTATGACTGAAGAACTCAGAGAATGAAAAACTGCCGCTCTGGTGTGATGTAGTGAAAGTCAAGAGCCCTAGGTCCTGGTTCTACTGCTGTCTGATTGTGAGCTTGGGCAGTTCATGTGCTGCCCCCCGACCCAAGCCTTGGATCAGATGAGGGGAGACTGTACCATATGTCATATGGTTATGATATTCATGTATTCAGTAAATGTTTATTGAGCTCAATCCTTCCTCAACGTCACTGACATGTAGTGAGCAAGACAGATACATCCCTGCCCTCAAAGAGTTTACATCCTAGTAAGGGAGGGAGGCAGTAAGGGAATAAATACTTGTGCAGTGCACCAGGCAGCAGTAGGTGCTCTAGGGGAAAGTAAAGGAAGGTAAGTGGAACAAAGAGCCAGGCAGGATAATGAGGGAGGGCTCCTCTGAGGAAGTGGTGTTGGAGAAAGACCTACAAGAAGAGAGGAAATAAGCCCGTGGATAGCCAGGAAAGGGCATATGGGCAGAGGGAATGGCAAGTGCAAAGGCCCTGAGGCTTGACTTTCTTGTGGACTAGCAGGGAGGCCATTGTGGCAAAGTGATTGGGAGATGAGGTCAGAAAAACAATGCAGGTGAAGAGAAGTGGTCATATGCTGGAATATTTTGAAAGTAGAGCCAAAAAGATGTGTTGATGGACTGGATGTGGGGTATGAAGGAGAGAAGAGTCATGAATGATTTCAAGATTTTTGGCCTGGGTAACTGGAAGAAAAGAGTTTCTGTTGACTGATGGGGAAGCAATAGGCAGAGCAGGTTTGGAGTTAATAATAAACTTATTATTTGACATTACTGTATATACTGCAAGATTCCCTGTCTTTGAGGCTAAAAATGCCACAATAATATTTGGAAGCTAAACCTACCTACCTGGAGAAAGAAAGAGTCTTTAAAATACACTGGACCGCATGGGCAGTTCCTGATTCAGAAAATTTCAGGAGCTCAGTGTGGGATGTGGTGAGCTGGACATGCCTATCAGTCATCCAAGTGGATCTGTCAAGTGGGCAATCAGATATCCAAGTCGAGTTCAGGAGAGAGGGACTTTAGGTGAAAATGTAGGACTCATCGGTGTGTGGATATGTTTAAAGACATACATATTCAGAACACCAAGGGAGTGAGTGTGGATAAGCTGGCCAAGGACTGAGCCCTGGGCCCTCTAATGGTTAGGTCAATGTCAACTGTTGTCGATGGACTGAGTGATAAAATGCCTGAGAATTGATTACATTGATCATTGGATGTAGCAACAGTGAGCTCTTTGGTGACTTTTGTGAGCCCCTCTTAGGGCCCTGCAGGATTTTTAAATATACTCCATAACATTTGGAGCAGTGGGGTAATACCTTAAGAAAACAATAGTCTCAAACCAGAAAGATCCCATTTAAAACACTGTTAAAGTAATGTCAAATAATAAGTTTATTATGTTTATTGCCTTTCCTTCCCCTACCTGAATGTAAGGGATCTTTTTCCTTTTTGTTTATTGACATATGTGTCTAGAACAATGCCTGGCACATAGTAGGTGCTTAATAAATATGTATTGACTTGATGAATGAATGAATGGAGCCATTTGAGTGGGTGGCAGTGTTAGCTTTCTTTATATTTTAACAATCTTAGTGAAGCCACCCTCAGCTTCTTTCCATGTTTCCTTCTTTTTCCTGCTGTCGCAACAAGCTCAGGCCTCTTGAATACCTTTCTCATTATTCTGTGCCCCAGCCTACTGCCTACTGTCTTTTTAAGTCTCCTCGATCCTGATTTAGACCATCCCACCAGAAGACATTTGGGCCCCAAACTGGTTTGTAATGTTCGGCCCTGACCAGTCTCCTGTGAGCCGAGCACTTTGCCATATTTCTGCTGGGGGTCCCTGGTCCATATTCAAACAGTCCAGCTGTCCTCTGGTTAGGAAGTTTGGTTAGAGTGGTAGAGTGGTTTTTCCATTTTCTTCTATCTCCTTCCTGCCCGTCTACACCCCAATCTAGTTAGCTTTTCTTTTAAATTATGACGGGTGGCTGACATGTTCATTCCTGGCTAATCTAACTTGGTCTTAAGTGTGATTTCCGTCGTACACAGCGCTGATTTCACCAGCCCTGGAGTTCGGCTGGGACGGTTTAGTCACCAGTAGGCTACAACATGTCACCCTATGCAGCCTCCAAAGGAGTGAACATAATGGGAGAGGTTCCAGTTCTCTCAATCCTTTGGTTACTTTTGGGAGCAGGTCTCAGTTTGGTACAAGTGTGTCTTTTTAAAACTTCCCTGATACCTTCTTAACAAAAGAGAGAGGACCCTTGGTAAGGAATAGTATCCAGCTAGAATTTCATCACAACGTTTTGTTTTCACTGTATACATCTTTTTGGTTGCCTCCTGTTTAAGGCAAGTGAGGGTGGCTTCCTGTATAAGGGAAGGAAAAAGTTTCCTTGTTTAACACATTTGTTTAATTTTAAAGAGTGAACCAATTAGGGGCTTCCCTGGTGGCGCAGTGGTTGAGAGTCCGCCTGCCGATGCAGGGGACACGGGTTCGTTCCTCGGTCTGGGAAGACCCCACATGCCGCGGAGCGGCTGGGCCCGTGAGCCATGGCCGCTGAGCCTGCGCGTCGGGAGCCTGTGCTCCGCAACGGGAGAGGCCACAACAGTGAGAGGCCCGCGTACCGCAAAAAAACAACAAAAAAAAGTGAACCAATTAAACAAAAATAACAAGTAGATAATTGTAAAAGTGTGTGTAAAACTTAGGCAAGAGGGCATGGTGAAATGGTAGGAGGATACGGTAAAAACTTCTGAAGTTCATACTTCAATGATTGGCATTTTGGGTAACACTTCAGAAACTGATAGCACGAAGGGGCTTCGTTTCTAATTAATTGCCTGAAGGCCTCCACCCCTACCCCACGGCACTAGCCTGTAAGCCTCAAGATGGCCAGTCTCAGTGGGCTGAGCGTTATGTCCTAGGAGCTAGTAGGTGCTCAGTAGATATTGGCTGAGTGAAATGAGTAGGTGGATGGATAAATGTAGCTCAGTTCCCTTGTTTTACAGGTGAGAAAACAGATTTAGAGGACAAGGTGACTTACACAGGAGGACACAGTCATTTAGTGGCAGAATGGAGACTGTGGCCAGACCTCAGTTTCTAGGACCCAAGCCCTCTTCACTGACCATGCAGCCTGTTAGGGTCCGAACAGGTGGATCATTCTCAGATGCATTGCACAGAGAGCATTCAACTCCCAGACTTAATAATGAGTGCTGGTAATTCTCCATGTCCTTTATTTGAAGAGTGTGCCCCTTTTAAGCCCCAATATTTTAATGCTTTTATGAGCTCCTTGAACCTTGTGTGGGTGCTTAGAGGTTAAATTCCCTGTCAGACCTCTCCCTCCAATATCCTCAGTAGAATTTATCACTTTAATAATTTAATATTTTTTTCTCAAAAAAATAATTATCTACAAAACAGGGACCAAAAACTTAAGGAAAAAACTTCAGGAGTTTAATGAGATCTTATGTATTGCTTTTGGGAGAAAAATTGGTGATGACCGGATAATTATTTCATTTAAATTCCTGGAGAAAACTAAAGCCATGCTCTAGACTCCAGGGTCAGGAGCATCTATCTCAGTTTCAGTATCATAAGTTGTCGGTGATTAATACCAGTAGGGCAGCCCTCTGCTTCCCAGGGCTCCTCGGATGGAAGAGGCACAGCGCAGGCTGGGAAAGGGCAGTCATGTAACATCTACGTCCTCTCCACAGATCCACCGTCGGCACCCTGCTGTCATCCCAGGTAACCTGTTCTAATGCCTCCCAGTTGCTAGTCCCATCATGTTGTCTCTTTGCTTCTCTCCCTTTCCCCTCCCTGCCTTTTCTTCTGGCCTGAGTGGTTTGTAAACTCACCACAGACACCTCCATGCAGCTTGTGAAACCCACCGGAGCAATTTTGTTTTTCTCCTTGGTGATCATAAATAGTGATGAATGAAAAGAAGAGCTGCAGCAGCCCAGGGAGCGTGATTCGTGACGCGACATCAGAGCCCTCCCCACTCCTGTACCTGGGTGGGCGGGGGGTGGGGTGGTTTCCTCGGGCTGCTGGTGGAGAAGAGGGTGGCAGGGTTGTTTCTGTACCTGCCCGTTAGGTTTAGTAACCCCACGGTGGCTGTCACGTGGGCCGCACTACCTGCCACATACCCTCTCTCACTTTGTTCTTAAAGCTAGGGTGGAAATTCTACGATGCAGATGACTATCACCCAGAGGAAAATCGGATGAAGATGGGAAAAGGGATACCTCTGAATGACCAGGTAAGGTTTGCTGTCTGTTTTTATTTCCAACACAGATGTCCTGTGATGCAGGGTGACACAGGTTAAGATTCCTGCAGTGCTTGTTGTAGTAGAGTTCCTGAGTCATGCACTCACGTACAGTGCTCCAAAAGCCAGGTGCACAGCGGGTCCACCACATATGTTAGCTTTGGCCCTGAACTCCCATCTAAACTCTAAACTGGCATCAGCAGTGATGCCACCCTCTGCCCCAGCTCGGCAGGATCTGCCGGAACACTTTGTTGAGGGATTTTAATCTGCAGAATGTAATCCCTGAGAGGGCAGAGGCTCCCCTCTGCCTCATATGTGGGGAAGTTCATATTTTCTTCCCAGGACTTATCAGCCTACCACCTCGCCAGGCCCTGGCATCTTTGCCTAGCAAAGCCCTGGCTGCTTCCCCACCAGCAGCCTGAGGAAACCACCCCCCCCCCCCCCCCCCCAGGTACAGGAGTGGGGAGGGCTCTGATGTCGCGTCACAAATCCTGCTCCCTGGGCTGCTGCAGCTCTTTTTTTCATTCATCACTATTTATGATCACCAAGGAGAAAAACAAAATTGCTCCGGGGTGGGTTTCACACACTCAGATCTGGCCCTCTGGAGCCACGCGTCCCCTCCTTGTATCCACTGGAGCCACCCTTGCCTCTTTCAGTTGCTCTACCACCATGCTCCTCCCGCAGGGCCTTTGTCTCTGTTGTTCCCACTGTGAGGAATAATGCACTTCCCTGCCCTCTTCTCAGTTACCCGGCTCATGCTTCACATCTCAGCTCCTGTGCTCCTTCTTCAGGGAAGCTCTCCCTGACTTCTAGGTAAAACCTCCTATAATAAACTCTCATGGCACCATATCCCTTATCGTCCTTGTCCCAGTTGCAACATGGCATTTGGTGGTGTGAGAATTTGATTACTATTTATCTCTACAACTAGATTTTACCTCCAAAAGGGCAGGCACTATGGCCATTTCTGTTAACCATTATATATCCCCAGAGCCTGACACACAGTACATGTCAGAAAATATTTGTGGCAGATTTGTGAGTGAATGAATGAATGAGTGTAAGAATGAATGACTAGCACCTCATTTCTTTATACACTGTCATGAGGCCCTTTCCTAGAGGGTCTCTCTCAAACCAGAGTCACAAACTGGATTCACTGGCGTGATTAGCTGTAACCCAGGAGAGACTGAGGGCAGGGCGTAGGGCTGAGTCCACAGAGCAGCTGAGAGCAGGGCCTCTAGCTGGGCCCACGTGCCAAGGGTGTCCAAAGGGCAGGTATGGTATGGAACTGGCCAAAGAGAAACACTGGTGTTTTCACTTTCATGACCTTGGCTCACCCCAGTTGGGCCCCACTTTCTTCTCTTTGTCCTGCCGTGAAGGACTAGAGTCATTAACCCATATTAAGTCTAATTCTAGAGCACTCTGAGGGTTTCTCTTTGTCCCAGGGAGTGCACCTCGATTTGTAATAGTTCAAACGTTAAACCATCAAAATCAAGTTTACAGCATCTGACTTTAGAAGGCAGGAGGAGAGAAGCAAAAAAGGGATACAGAGTAATGATGTAAACAAAATAATGATGATATTATATGAGAGATAATAAACATAATATAGATAACCTGGCCTCACCACTGAGCTTGCGTGACTTGGCAGATGACTTAGTCTCTCTGTGCCTCATTTTCCTCCTGTGAAGTAGGGATGGTGACAGGACCTATTTCATTGAGTTCTTGCGAGGATTAAATGAGATAATATGAAAAATGTGCACAGAGAAGTGCCTGAAGCATTCAGTAAATATCACTTCTTATTGTTGTTGCTAATATCTTATCTATATATACATACATGTAACAGAAACCATTTCTGTGGAGTGTGTAAAATGTGACTGTGCTAGGGTTATTTTATTTTTCTCCTTGGCAGGTACAAATGAAAATTAAAATAAGGAACACAGTAAAGCAACCCAAATGGACAGATTTTAAAATGGCATTTAAGCAGCCTTCCTCTTGTTCACACGTGAGGCTTGTTAAGTGGGCAGTATGGATGGGGGGCTGGGGAGGAGAATTCAGAAGAGGAATTATTGTACCGAAGAAAAGGTTATCAGTTACTGGAAGAAACACAACAAGTTACTAAATATATTCAGAGGCAGCTGTACAAGTTAGCCTGACCTTAGAGAGAAGCAGAGAGAAAGAGGTAAGATGGCAGATGGCTTACATTTTTGATGAGAGCCCAGCGAGTCTAAGAGTGAAGGTGTGGGTCACAGCTGAGCTGGCACCAAGGACCTCCTGGTTGCTCTGGCAACCAGCCCCCCACCCCAAAGATACTGTACTGAACATCAGTTAGAGTGTTAGAGGCAGACATAGCGGTTGGCCTTGCGGAAGAGTCTCAGGAGGGTTTGGGGAGGGTATTGTGCTCAGAAGGCTGAGATGTGAAGAGAAAGAACCTGAGTTGAATATACCAAGGGCTCCTTAAGTCTGTTTCAATTAAATTAAATGTAAACTCCAGTTCCTGGGTTGCACTGCCACATTTCAAGTGTTCAACAGCCACATGTGGCTGGCGGCTGCTAATCCAGGTGGCACAGATAGAGGACATTTCCCTCAGGGCAAAAAGCTCTATTGGACAGCGCTGGTATAGAAAGATACGCCACCCAGGATGCAATACATTATTAGCGTGATGATGATGATAATAAAGAATTTCCAAGCTGCCAGTCAGTGAGTCTGCCATATGTGCCAGGTTCATGCTGTCCTGGTAGCGTATGGTGACACTTGAGCAGACTTCAACCTCAAAGTCTATTTAAAAGAGGTTTTTTGAAAATTTTTCCCTGATTATAAATATAATACTTATCCTGTATAGAAAATTCAACCAGTGCCGAAAAATCCTTTCACAGAATTTTCATCACCCTTGGTTTCATCTTCTAAAAATACCTACTAATTGAATTTGAGTTTTTCCCCCTATCCTTTTTGGGGTATATATTATTTTTACATGCATTCTTTCCTCTATGGGCTTAAGTTCACTTTTGCACCAGATAAAACCAGTCCATCGCCCATTGTCCTCCCCTCCTACTTTCCTTGCCCTCTCTCCACCTCCCCAGCAATGCTGGACACACTCATCTTCCATCTGTTCCTCTGAGCTCCTGCCCTGCCCTTTAACCATCATCCCCTTCCAGAAGACACTGTTTCTCTAGATAGGCCAAGTGCTTAAGCACTGGGCTGGGGATTCAGGGTACACTGCCCCCCGCCCATCCCTGCATGTAAGGACTATCAGGAATGAAGGGACCTAGAACATCAGATCCAGCAAGCAGGGATGTTCATTTGGGTTATGTTGTTTCCTCCTCTCTTTCCCCTAAGACTTTTTGTGTTTGACTTGCCTTAGTTACCATATTGTCCGTAGTAACTATTTACACACAGAGTTCAGTGAATTTGCTTTAATATATCCTCTGTTTTGCCCCAGTTTCTGCATCTGTGAAAAGGAGATCTCAATCATTCCCTTTTTTCACAAACGTGAACACAAAATTTGGAGCTCATGTGTCCAAGTCCTCCCTAAGACCCTAACAATAAAGTCCAGACTCCTTAGCAGGTCACTCAGGGTCTTGATTCTCTAGTCCTGACAGTTTCTGCTGACCTTCCTCACCTATCAACTCCCACACCTCCTGTTCACCAGTGCTGAGCTCCTGCCTCATCCATTTAGACAAGAGTCTTGGTAAACCATCTTTAATATGCCAAGTCTTGCCCTTCCCTCTGCTTGACAGGCCCTGCTTCCATTAAAATCCTCTTTACCCTTTAAGATTTAGTCTTCCTAGGGCCTGATCAAAATTGCTCTCTCCCCTTGTCTTATCATAGCCCTTCTTATATTTCTTGGAGCCCTCATTACTGTCCTGTGGGTAGTTTAATTGATAAATACCCATCCTCAGGCTGTGACCCCCTCGAGGACAGGGACTGCACTGTTCATATTTATATCCCCAGTGCTCGATATGGTGCTTTGCACATATTAAGTATTCATTGTTTGTGGAGTTAGAGCCCACTGCATACTAAATTTATTTATTAAAGGTCTTTTCAAAATTCAGAGTCGGAAATGAATGCTGTTTATTGCAGCTATTAAATCAGCCAAAAAGTAATGTTTAAAATGGAGTCTACTCCTTTTCCTGTTTAAGTCCCAAAGCAGCTCAATGTATTATATATGATTCCCCCATTTTGCAGATGAACAAAGGGAGGCACAGAGAAGTAACTTGAGCAAAGGCACAGAGTGAGGGGGATCTCTCCAACCTCTAAGACTCTACTTTTTCTACTGTGTTAAAGGCCCTGATACTACACACACACAAAAATAATCTACAAGAAATGAATCAGGGTTGATTAAGTGGAGCAAGAAAGGGTGAAAGCAAGGGTGAGGGTGAGAGCAGGAGAGAGGCACAGCCCCCGGTGAGCACATCCATTGTAGGGGCCTAGGCCTTGAAGGGTATTTGAGGCAGGTGACAACTGGCTTTACACAGCAGGTCTGAGAATTCTGGTTTCCACATGGAGTCTAGGTAGCCTTTGGAGCTGCTTTGGGAAAACTCTCTGCTTGTGGCCCCATGTGATCCTCCGAGGAAGGATCCCAATTGTGTAATTATGACTCAATACTTGGAAACTTCTGTAAAATAAAGTTGAAAGTGCTTCTGTTTTATCTCCAACCTTCTCTCATTGTTTTTATGGCTGGTGGACCCAGACCTTACCGGTGCAGTGAATAAACTGGTCCAACATACATTCTGATTGGGCAAATGTCTGAAAGCATCCATTTTTGTTTAAATAGTTTAATGTTTCCATGTATTAATATTAGTTTTCATGGTTGAGCTTCTGAGGAATTTTATTATGACTAAGTGATGCAACATGCTTAATTCTTGACGAAGGCACATATTGAGGCACTATTAAAAACAATAAAAAAGTATGGATTCAAAGTAAAGTTCCATTTTCCTATACATAGGATAGGAAGCTTATTACCCAAACATGTTTTCCGTTATTTTTAATTTGTTCCGTCTTTATTGTGAAACGTTTCAGGCATGCAGAAAATGTAATGAATAATAAAGTCAATACCCAACTTAACACCATAACATATTTGTTTCCTAAGCCATAAAATAATAGAGATTGATCTCTGTACAAAGAGATATTTGTGCCGATGGACTGGAGGAAATGTGCCATCTAAGTAAAACAACAGAACACAAGTTTGCTCCTCTGCTAATGTGAAGAAAGAAGAGATGTCTAAAGTACTAGAAATTAAACAAATTATCCCCTCTCCTTGGTTCATCCAAACCCACTAGGAACATTTTACTCATGCAGAAGAACAACTCATTTGTTTGTTGTGTTTGCATCTGTGAATCAGTCCTAATGCATCATTATAATTGCTCCTTGAACTCTAAGTAGGCATGTGAATACTGAATATGTGAATTAGCATTTGGCCCTCTGAACCTTCCAACTACCTCTTCTAAACCAAACATTCTTGCTGAATGGGGGTTAGCAGCCCACGGCAATAGTCTCAGGATTTTGTTTCACCTAGAGACTTGTACAGTGACAAGGGATGTATTGTGGAAAAGGCTGTCTGCCTACCCAGATAGGACAAGGGTAGTCAGGCTCTCTGTCTTGTCAGCTCAATGCCTGACACCGTCAACACATTGAACATGCATTCATGTCTCATATGAGAACCCCACTAGTCAGGTTCACAAGATTTCTACATAAAACCAGAATGCCGGGGCTTCCCCGGTGGCACAGTGGTTGAGAGTCCGCCTGCCGATGCAGGGGACGTGGGTTCATGCCCCGGTCCGGGAGGATCCCACATGCCGCGGAGCAGCTAGGCCTGTGAGCCATGGCCGCTGAGCCTGCGCATCTGGAGCCCGTGCTTCGCAACGGGAGAGGCCACAGCAGTGAGAAGCCCGCGTACCACACACACACAAAAAAAACAGAATGCCAGTTGATTAATTTACAAGGAGAAATTTAAGTGCCACATGGCCTGTAACACTTCACATGGATCTGATTTCAGAAGCCAACATACAATCAGGTTTCTCAGTGAACATGCAATCAAAAGAGTAGGAGAGTTAGGGCTGAAGTTTCTAGTGGTGTGAGACCAGCCATCCCCTTACAGGAAGATGTTTGCTAATGAGAATATGATATTCAAAGTCCTATGGCCAGAACTCAGTCCAATGGCCAGACATGTCCTCTGGTCAGTACTCTGCTGTTTAATACCGTAGTGCTCCTGCCCTGGGCTTTCACACCCACCAAGCCTTGCTGGGACAGACGTGCTTCCTTTATGTGTGTAAAAATATGCAGTTGGATCATAGTGATGTCCTGCTAGCCTGAGGGTCCTTTTTACTCCTTCAGATGAGTTTATATATCTCCGCTCCTTTCTATTAAGTGTTGCTCTTTAAATTAAAGCTTTAAAGAACAAGCTTCTTTCCTTCTTTTCCAAGTGCTTAGGAAGTTACCTCACTGTGGGCCCCATATGCTATAAGCAGACTCCTTAACTTTTTAAAAGTTGACATCATTTCTACAGCTTGAAATGGGATGCCCCCATTTACATGTAAAACACACAATGAAGTTAGTCCCGTTAATGATTAGTATACCACTTTACCAAGTAAGTGGCCTGTGCTGCCCTTCCTGCAGGCCTGAAAGGCACTGTATCTTTGTAGGACTGGATCCTAGGTAGGAAACTGCTCATCCTGCTGACTCATGAGTCTTTAAGGCCCAGTCACCCTGCTCTGCTACAGCCTTCTATTAGAGGAGCTGTTTTGGAAAATATAGCCAAAGAGGTTTAAAAAAAATTTTTTTAAGGTCATTGTATAACTAACAGTGTTCTCTTTTTCATTCCTGTTAGTTCATGAATATAATAGAAAAGCTTAGCTATTCACAGTGAGAGTACAGGAAAGAAAGGAATTTAGAAAGTTGAGTGCAAATGGAATCTTAGAAGTTAAACTTAGGGTGATCATGTCTAGAGTACTGAAAGAAAGCACCCAGAGCTGTGTCTGGATCTCCCTAAGCACACAACAAATGCTTGTAAATGGATGAAGGAAAGGGGAAATCCAAATCTGTGCTTGAATTGGCAGCTTTTCCCATGGGCAATTTTCCATCATAAAATACTGCACAGCTCAGTAAGTCCATCTAATTATCCCCGCTACCTATAATCCTTGACACTTTTCTTCCTGGACCCCTGCCGTAAGCCCAGAAAATATGTGTTACAGTGGCAATTTCAAGTTCCATAAGTATAGCTCCTACAACTTTTTTTCTCCTCATAGACTTCTCCAGAACATTTAGTTTTTGAGTATGATGTCTTAGAAAACCTTGCCAATAATAAACCTTAAACATATACACTCTTTTCCAAGAGCACATAGGTCTCCTCATAAAGCACAGAGTTCTTTGTGGTCTGCAAATCTGGAGCTGGTAAGCCTCATTATCTTGTTACTTTGTTTAGAAATAACCACAATGGTTCTACTGACTACAGTCAGACAAGTGCTAACATAAACAAATGTTTTATTCATTAAATACATTTGAGCTACAATGTGTGCACATTGTAGTAGCTGTTGTAACTTGAGGAATAATTTCTGTGAATTATGTATTAATAGCTGTTGTTTTATTATTTGTGTAAGTTAGGTGATAGTTGTCATTTGATCTGTGTCTTGTGTGGATTTTGTAACTGTTGCATTTGTACTTCTAAGTGGTCTCTGGTCGACTAGTGTGTACATAGAGGTTAAGTCTTTTTTTTTTTGCGTTATGTGGGCCTCTCACTGTCGTGGCCTCTCTCGTTGCGGAGCACAGGCTCCGGACATGCTGGCTCAGCGGCCATGGCTTATGGGCCTAGCCGCTCTGCGGCATGTGGGATCTTCCTGGACCAGGGCACGAACCCATGTCCCCTGCATCGGCAGGTGGACTCTCAACCACTGCGCCACCAGGGAAGCCCAAGTCTTTTTTTTTTTTTAATTATTATTATTTTTGGCTGCGTTGGGTCTTCATTGCTGCGCACGGGCTTTCTCTAGTTGCAGCAAGCGGGGGCTACTCTTTATTGCGAGCACGGGCTCCAGGCACGCAGGCTTCAGTAGTTGTGGCACGTGGGCTCAGTAGTTGTGGCTCACAGGCTCTAGAGAGCAGGCTCAGTAGTTGTGACGCGCAGGCTTAGTTGCTCTGCGGCATGTGAAATCTTCCCGGACCAGGGATCGAACCTGTGTCCCCTGCATTGGCAGGCGGGTTCTTAACCACTGCGCCATCAAGGAAGTCCCCATAGAGGTAAAGTCTTAAAAAATTCTATCACTAGTAAAACTTCCAGGAACCTCAACCCAATATTAGCACACATGCTTTTCAAAAGTTTTATTTAATATGAAAAAATTAAATATATGTGTGTGTTTTGTGTGTGATTGAGAGTGTGTGTGAGTGTGTGTGTGTGTGTGTAAAATCTTCTGCTTCTTGAAAAGGGTGGGTCCTAGTAACGGGAGGGTCTTTAGTTTGCTGAGTACAGAGTGAAGGCCTTGGTGGAATGAACGTTTCACTTACTGAGTAGTTACTCTGAATAAGAAATGGGAAAGCCTGAGCCCAGAGGAGATATTCAGGAACTAAAGGAGCTCACCCAGAGCTGGAGAACTTGAAAGGCTCCTGGTGGAAAAGATTGTGGGTGGGGGGGGCATAGCCAAGGGCTTAACCAAGGTCAGAAGAAATATGAGAAATTCTCAGGTGCCAGAATCAAAGTGGCAAGATTTAGTTAAACCTAAATAACCTCTTCCCCCAAGTTTTGGAAATGCATGTAAGCCAGGAGGCTGGGAACTGAGATTCTGATGCCCCTGTAGAGATGGGAGATGAGGCCTATATGATGCATGGAGCTGGTCCTGAAACTAAGTGCGAGGACTTGCATAAAGTATTTAAAGGAAGACTTTATCTGAGTGAGGATTACGAATATCTCCACTCACTAGATTCAAGAAGCAGCAAAGAATCTGGCTGTCTCCCCTGGACCACAGGTGGAAAACTAGACTTTCCTACGCCCAATTCACTTCATATGACATAGACCAAGTTGAAAAATTAATGTAATACTAGTCTGGAATTGGCAAAACTACCTATGGAAATGTTTCCAAAACTCAGCACTCCTACAAGGGAAAAAAAATCTGAAGATGCACCTGCAGTCAAAAAGTACAAACGATACAGGTAAATGAACCACTGTGAGAGAGAATCAGCAAAAAAGCACAAATGGAATAAGTCATACTCCAAGAAACAGACAGAATCAAATGAAATAATATAATATTACAAATCAACTATACTTTAATTTTTTTAAAGAATCAAATGAAAGAAACAAAATTTATTGATAATATTTCATTATCAATAGATGGATTAAACAATAAACTAGACACAGCTGAAGAGAGAACTAGTGAATTAGAAGGCAGACTAGAGGATATTACCCAGAGTGAATAAGAGAGCTAGATAACTAGAAAAATATTCGAGAAAAATTAAGAGACTGGTATAATAAAATGTTTCACATACAACTAAAAGGAATCCAAGGAGAATAGAATAAGTGGGGGAAAGGCAATTTTCAAAGAGATAATATTAACAGTTTCCTTAGACTGAATATATAAAATGAGTCCTGAACAGGATAAATAGTAAAACTGCAAAACATCAAGGACAAAGAGGTTTATTTTCTACCTATAGCTACCAAAGAGAAAATATATGTTCTGAATGATTGCCCAATTTAACAAGAGATACTTCTCAACAACAATAGAGCCCTAAAGACAGGGAGTAAGTATTTAAACTGCTGAGGGAAAATAACTGTCAACCAAGAATTCTTTACCAACTGAAATCTTATTTAAAATGAGTAAGAGTAAGAGCAGAAGACATTTTCAGACACACAAAGACAGAAGGGAAAACTGTCAATTCTTAATCTATGGGAGAATTTAAAACAACTCTCTTGAAAACATCGAAACAGACAAAAGATACACAAAACAGACAAGAAGAATTAGTAAAGATATAGAAGATTTAAACAACAAATATATTGAAAAGCATGAATAAAAAATAAACATTCTTTTCAAGTACATATGGAACATTTATAAATATTGACCATATACTAGACCACATAGTACTAGTGCTCTATGGCACAATTTGCCACAAATTCTAAAGAGTCAATATCATACCAATCAATCACATTTTTTATCATAATGCACAAGAATTAGAAATCAATAATAAAAATTCTCACAAATCATAAAATGGTTGGAAACTGTAGAAATAAGTAAAATTGAAAAATAAAAATTGACATTCATATAAATTCATAAGTTAAAAATCATAGTGGAAATTATAAGATATTTGGAAATGTATGACAAAAGTGCTATCAACTAAAACTTATGGGATATAGCTGAAAGAGTACTTAGAAGGAAATTTACAGCCTCTGAATGCACTTTTGGAAAAATAACAAAAATGAAAATGATGATCTAAGGGTTTAAGTAGAAAAAAAATAATAAAAAGGAAGAATGTAGAAAAATATAGAAATAAGTGCTGAAATTAATGGAATATAAAACAAAGAAGCCATATAGGTGATGAGTGAAACTAATTGTTTGAAAAGATAAAAACAGACAAATCTCTGGCAAGATTGATCAAGGGGGAAAAAAAGCACAATTAAGACTAGGAATGAAAAGAGGCCATGAAAAATCTGATACCAGTGAATTTTAAGACTTAGATAAAATTGGACACTTTCATAGAAAAATATAAATTACTGTGGGAAAACAGGCTTGGATGACAGTGATCTGATGGCAGAGACAGTGCTCAGGGACACAGTCTACTCCCCCCCACCCCTGCCAATGGAAACGTGACCTTGCTGATTCTAAAGTATTTCAGTTACCAAAACTGAATCAAGAATAGAAAAATCTGAATATAACACAATGCTCATTCAAGAAATTGAACCTGTAATCAGAGATCTTTCCTCAAAAAAAGCCCCAGGCACAGAGTTTTTAAGATGAGTTTTAGCTCAGGCTGCTGTAACAAAATATCATAGACGGGGTGGCTTAAACAATAGACACTTATTTCTCACAGTTCTGGAGGGTGAAGGTCCAAGAGCAAGATGCCAGCATGGTCAGGTTCTTGTTTATTCTGAGCCTGGAGTTTCTCTTCCTGGCTTGTAGATGGCTGCCTTCTTAGTGTATCCTCACTGGGTGACTGAGGGGTAGGGCAGTGGAAGGAGAGAAAAAGTACACACTAGCTCACTGGTCTCTTCTCAAAAGGACACTAATCCCATCATGAGGACCCCACCCTCATGACCTCATCTAAACCTAATTACCTCCAAATATCATTACATTAGGGGGTATGAATTTTGGGGAAATAAAAACATTCAGTTCATAACAGTAATATATTGTATACAAGCTGTTTCAAAGAACAGAAAAAGAGGGAAAGCTGCCCTACTTATTTTATGAGGCTAGTATAACCTTGATACCAAAATTTAACATGGACTATACAAGAAAACAAATGCAGGTCAATCTCAATTATAAATGCAAAAATCCTAAATAAAACAGTAGTAATCAAATGTTTAAGAGCAAGGACTTCTAAAGACACATCATGTTTCTTGAATATGCATCAAAATGATAAAGGATGAGGGCACAGGTAAGGATATGGCTGGGACATATATAAAATCAGACTGTGAGTTGAAAATCATTGAATGTGTTTAAAATTTCCATAATAAAAAATTATGTTTTTCTTTAAATGCATTATGACCAATCAGTATTTACCCTAGGAGGATTCCTTTGTGAAACACTGTAGGGTGCCCTATGTAAACTTCCTCTGCCTTCTCTGGAGAAATACAAAATTCTCACACTGCTTATATCTGAGTAGAGCTTTGCTTTTGGAGGATTTGAAGAATAGGACCAGAGAGCAGCTGACATAGGGTTTCTGTGAATACCTCTCTGCATTTGAGATCAGAGGCACCTAAAGAATCATACAGTATAATAAAGATTTATATACATATCAGAACCAGAGAAAATATACTTACAATGGGAAGATTAAGATGGTGGAAGTTGGGCTTCCCTGGTGGCGCAGTGGTTGAGAGTCCACCTGCCAATGCAGGGGACGCAGGTTCGTGCCCCGGTCTGGGAGGATCCCACGTGCCGCAGAGCAGCTGGGCCCGTGAGCCATGGCCGCTGAGCCTGCACGTCCAGAGCCTGTGCTCCGCAACGGGAGAGGCCACAACAGTGAGAGGCCTGCGTACCACAAAAAAAAAAAAAAAAAAAAAGATGGTGGAAGTTACATACTGGTATTTTAGGGCAATTTTTATTATTATGAAAAGAGCCTCTGACACCTGGACCAGGAAAATGCTTCTGTGCTGAACTGCCTAGTGACTTGACCCCTCAGCCTTGTGCATGGCCTACTCCTCAAAACCACTAAGATCTCTCTGGACCTTAACATTGATGAAAATGATTAACTTCCTGTAAAAACGAACAAAACCTAGAAAAGCCACTTTGTGTCTGCCTTCATTTCAGGACAGGATTCCATGGCTCTGCAACTTGCATGACATTTTACAAAGGTAAGAGAAAATCAGGCGCCAGGTAAGCCAGTGAGTAAAGAAAACCCATCACAAAGTACAGGGGAAAAAATACACTCTTGAAATCACAACTGACTGCTGATATGGCATCCCAGAAATGAAATGCACCTCTATCAAGTAACCAACAATGATTTTAATCAGCCACAGATGTGTAGTTTAGTTGGGTTCTGGAGTTAGCCTTCTAAACAACTCCACAATTACTAGCTGGGAATCTTGGTCAGCCACTTGGCTTCCATAAACCTGTTTCTTCATCTGAAAATGGGGATAAATATAGTTCCTACTCACAGACTGTTGTGAGGAATTAGTGAGATGAAGCATGGGTAGCACTTAGAACAGTACCTAATATATATAGTAAGTGCTAAAAAAATAATAATGACGTATAGCTATACCTTAGCCACCACTTATATTGCCTCCTACTTCAAACTCTGACAACCAGGAAGATCTGGGGTCATTCATAAGTCAACAGATAACTGGCCACCAGGATTGAAGTCTCAAATTGTTCAGCTCTGTAGCATGCCTCTGAGCAAACGAGGTCCTCCCCAACCCATCTGTGGGCCAGACCCCTGGGAATCCTGGTTGGGACATGGAAGATAAAGAAGTGGCAGGGAATAGGTTCTAAATCTTGCTGTCTCAGATGAAGTCATGTTTTATAAATCTAAAATCATGTGGGCCATATGAAATTAGAGTATACGTATGATTAAAAATCAGTTTACTTTTTTTAGACTGCACAGACATGGCTGGCAGCCCTCTTTGCATGGGCTTAGGGGTTTAAGGTTTGGAGTTGAGAACTCCTGCCCACTTGGGTCTCTAACATAAACAGACTTGTCAGAGATCTAACATACTGACCTGTGATGGAAGCAGAAGTGAAGATCCTCAGGAGAATAGAGATCAGACTTCCAGGCTCAGAATAAACAAGCTCTCACTCATGGCCCTTGGGAAGAGCCAGAAGGCTCAGGTACATAGGTTTGTTGCTGATGACACACTCCATCCACTGGGTCTCCAGTCTACAGTGGCCATGAATCAAGGCAGGCCCCTTCAGAATTCTCAGTTCTGAACTGAAATTTCTAAGTACCCAAGCCAGCTTTGACCCTTCACCTCTTTATACAGTTCCTTCCTGGCCCCAAGATGACTGCCTCTTCTGGCTGGTACATGTAGGTTTAGTGGAAAGGGGGCTCACCCTCATGTATGGTCTTGAACAACACTGGTTTTCCCTTATTGGTGCCTTGTCACTCTACCTCTATTTCTGGCTCAGTTTTTTTTTTTTTTTCCTTAGCACTGCCCTGGACACTTCTCACATCCTTCTCACCTTGACCACACAGGGGCTGATGCTCCCTTTTCTCCTGCTCTCTCTAGCTCTGCACTGGTAACTTCCCCAGACTCCCAGCATACTGTAGAGTAGGAATGGAGAGAAGCCAGTTGTGAAATTCAAATCCCTGAATACCTGAGAGGAGAGCCTGAGCTGTGCTGTGTGCGGGGCACAGGTACCTGCCGGCAGCCACCCATGTCTACAAGTGGTGGCTCAGTCACATCCTACATCCAAGGGGCAGAGCCAATACTTACCAAGCATTTCCTGTGTGCTGGGCACCTTGATAAACTTACTCATTACAGTTCTATGGGCAGGTACTCTGAGTAGTTGCATTTAGCAGATGATGAACTGATGCTCGGGGAGGTAAATATGTTACCCAAGATGCCTCACTAGTGGAAGATCTTTACCTCAAAGCCAGGACTGGCTGATACTTGGCCACCATTTGTAACACCTTCCACTGTCAGAGAAGTGGGACTCTAGTCCTCAACCTAGACTTGACACCAGTTATTTTAAATGTCTTCACTCTAGCGCTCATCTTCCCCCCACACACTTTATTTTTTTAACAGAGATGTAGCCTCTGGACAGCATGTAATTCTTGCCTGTTCAGCTCTGAAGAAAGTATACAGAGACATCTTAATACAAGGAAAAGATGGTGCACCTCTGAAGTGTGATGAGTCAGGAAAGGAAGAAAAGCTGGCTGAAGTGAAGCTTCTTGTGGTCCATCTGACTGGGTCGTTCGAGGTCATCTCTGGACGCTTACTCAAAAGAAAAGGGCATTTTATGTCCCCTGAGTTATTGCAGTCCCAGTTTGATACTTTGGAGCCCCCATCAGCTCCAGAAAATTTCATTCAAATCAGTGTGGACAAAAATCTTTCAGAGATAATTGCTACAATTATAGAAACTCTAAAATGAAGTGAGAATCATCTATATCAGTGGTCCAGAACACAACTGGGCATAACTCTGTCTCCCATCCCAAACCATGTTCCAGTATCCTTGTTGATACTGTATTCTAGATTCTTCTTAAGGTGAATAAACCATAATGTATTGAGATATGCTTGTTTGGGTGGATTTTTAGGAATCTGTGATACTCTTGTCATCATGCTCTGGCATATTCAGAGAAAAGGAGAGGAAACTTTGAAAGTGAAGTTTCAATTGAACTTTAAATTCGTGTGACCCAATCAAATAATCAGAGGAAATTCTATAATCTATGCTGTAAACCATGACTTATTTAGAACACTTTTGATCATGCCTGTACTTGGACAAATAAATGAAACCTGGCTATCCTTGGCACCCTCTGGAGATCGGTCTCAGGAGCAGAAAAGCGGACAGAATTGACCACTCACCAGCAAGTCATGTTACACCACACACCTCTAATTTCTCTCTCTGAGTCATTTCTAGGTAAATAAAAAGCACACGCAGTTCACAGATAAAAAAAAAATTTGCAAAGGTGGAACTTGAGTGAATGAAATGCGTGACTCACTGATTCAGTCTGCCCCCACCTCATTTTAGAGACCCCTGTGAACGAGGCTGTTATCAACCTGCCCACCTTCCTGCCGTAAAAGCTGTCAATGATGGACACTAGGCAGGCTAGGAAGGAACACCAGAGGAGCTGCTATGTTTGAAAACTGAAACAAAACTTTCCAATGGGCAGCTTTATGCCAGTGGCAGCAGGGTTGGGCGAGGCTGTGGGGAGCTTAGGGGCACTGGTGCATTGCTGGCATGCACCTTACCAGGTACCAGCAGGGAAAGCTGCAATCTGGCCAGCATGGGTTGGGTTTGAGCCCTTCCCTGATGGGGCTCCAGGAAGAAGCTTCCTTATTCCTCTATCCTAACTAGGGCCACAAGACCCAGCCACTTTGCAGGGCCACTGGTTGGTTCTGGCCAAAAAGTGAGTTTTGGAACCAATTACCTGTTTTCTTTCACAACGATATACATTTCCTTGTCTCAGGAACCAAAAATACAATATGTGCGTGGGGTGCCAATGGAAAGAAAGGGCCCTTCTGGGTGGACAGATCTTGCCTAAGAGAATGTGGAGAGAATGAGGAAGGTGATGGAGGAGTAAGACGTGGAGCTCACCTTCTCCTCACAGATATATCAAAAATACATCTACACGTGGAACAACTCCTACAGAACACCTACTGAACACTGGCAGAAGACCTCAGACTTCCAGAAAGGCAAGAAAGTCTCCACGTAACAGGGGTCTTGGTTCTGTGGCCAGGGGTCGAGCCTGAGCTTCTGAGGTGGGAAGAGCCGAGAGCAGGACACTGGACCACCAGAGAACTCCCGGCCCCAGGGAATATCCATTGGGGAGAGCCCTCCCAGAGGTCTCCATCTCAACACCAAGACCTAGCTCCACTGAACGGCCAGCAAGCTCCAGTGCTGAAAGCCTCACGCTAAACAACTAGCAAGACAGGAACACAACCCCACCCATTAGCAGAGAGGCTGCCTAAAATCATACTAAGTTCACAGACACCCCAAAACACACCAACTGATGCGGCCTTGCCCATCAGAGGGACAAGATCCAACTCCACCCACCAGAATGCAAGCACAAGTCCCCTCCACAAGGAAGCCTACACAAGCCACTGGACCATACTCACCCACTGTGAGTGGACTTACCAGAAGCAAGAGGAACTATGACCCTGCAGCCTGCAGAAAGGAGACCCCCCCAAAAGTAAGTTAAACAAAATGAGAAGACAGAGAAATATGTTGCAGACGAAGGAGCAAGGTAAAAACCCACAAGACCAAATAAATGAAGAGGAAATAGGCAATCTAACTGAAAAAGAATTCAGACTAATGATAGTAAAGATGGCCCAAAATCTTGGAAATAGAATGAAGAAAATACAAAAACAACACGTTTAACAAGGACCTAGAAGGACTAAAGAACAAACAGTAATGAACAACACAATAACAAATTAAAAATACTCTAGAAGGAATCAATAGCAGAAAAACTGAGGCAGAAGAACAGATAAGTGAGCTGCAAGATAGATAGAATGGTGGAAATAACTGCCACAGAGCAGAATTAAGAAAAAAGAATGAAAAGAATTGAGGACAGTCTCAGAGAGCTCTGGGACAACACTAAATGCACCAACATTAGAATTATAGGGGTCCCAGAAGAAGAAGAGAAAGGGTCTGAGAAAATATTTGAAGAGATTATAGTCAAAAACTTCCCTAACATGGGACAGGAAATAGTCAATCAAGTCCAGGAAGCACAGAGTCCCATACAGGAGAAACACACTGAGACACATATTAATCATACTAACAGAAATTAAATTCAAAGAAAAAATATTAAAAGCAGCAACAAATAACATACAAGGGAATCCCCATAAGGTTATGAGCTGATTATTCAACAGAAACTCTGCAGGCCAGAAGGCAGTGGAAGGATATATTTAAATTGATGAAAGGGAAAAACCTACAACCAAGATTACTCTACCCAGCAAGGATCTCATTCAGATTTGACGGAGAAATCAAAAGCTTTACAGACAAGCAAAAGCTAAGAGAATTCAGCACCACAAAACCAGCTGTACAACAAACGCTAAAGGAACCTCTCTAACTGGGAAACACAAGAGAAGAAAAGGACCTACAAAAACAAACCCAAAACAATTAAGAAAATGGTAATAGGTACATACATATCAATAATTACCTTAAATTTAAATGCTCCAACCAAAAGACACAGACTGGCTGAATGGATATAAAAACAAGACCCATATATATGCTGTCTACAAGAGACCCACTTCAGACTTAGGGACACATACAGACTGAAAGTGAGGGGATGGAAAAAGATATTCCATGAAAATGGAAATCAAAAGAAAGCTGGAGTAGCACTACTCCTATCAGATAAAATAGACTTTAAAATAAAGAATGTTACAAGAGACAAAGAAGGGGACTCCCCTGGTGGCACAGTGGTTAAGAATCTGCCTGCCAATGCAGGCAACACAGTTCAAGCCCTGGTCCAGCAGGATTCCATATGCCGCGGAGCAACTAAGCTCGTGTGCCACGACTACTGAGCCCGCACTCTAGAGCCCGCGAGCCACAACTACTGAGCCCACGTGCCACAACTACTGAAGCCTGTGGGCCTAGAGCCTGTGCTCTGCAACAAGAGAAGCCACCGCAATGAGAAGCCTGCACACCGCAACGAAGAGTAGCCCCCACTCGCCGCAACTAGAGAAAAGCCCATGCACAGCAACGAAGACCCAACTCAGCCATAAATAAGGAAATAATAAAAATAAAATGCTCCCAGTCTTTAAAAAAAAAGAGAGAGACAAGGAAGGACACTACATAATGATCAAGCGATCAATCAAAGAAGATATAACAATTATAAATATGCACCCAACATAGGAGCACCTCAATACATAAGGCAAATGCTAACAGCCATAAAAGGGGAAATCGACAGTAACACAGTAATAGTGGGGGACTTTAACACCCCACTTTCACCAATGGACAGATCATCCAGACATAAAGTTAATAAGGAAACACGGCTTGAAATGACACAGTAGACCAGATAGATTTAATTGATACTTATAGGACATTCCACCCAAAAGTGGCAGAATACACTTTCTTCTCAAGGGCACATGGGACATTCTCCAGGATAGATCACATCTTAGGTCACAAATCAAGCCTCAGTAAATTTAAGAAAACTGAAATCATTTCAAGCATCTTTTCCAACCACAATGCTATGAGATTAGAAATCAATTACAGGGGAAAAAACTAAAAAATACAAACACATGGAGGATAAACAATACACTATTAGGTAACCAAGAGATCACTGAAGAAATCAAAGAGGCAATCAAAAAATAACTAGAGACAAATGACAATGAAAACACAACAATCCAAAACCTATGGGATGCAGCAAAAGCAGTTCTAAGAGGGAAGTTTATAGCTATACAAGCCTACCTCAAGAAACAAGAAAAATCTCAAATAAACAATCTAACCTTACACCTAAAGGAACTAGAGAAAGAAGAACAAACAACACCCAAAGTTAGCAGAAGGAAAGAAATCATAAATATCAGAGCAGAAATAAATGAAATAAAAACAAAGAAAACAATAGCAAAGATCAATAAAACTAAAAGCTAAACAAAATTGATAAACCTTTAGCCAGACTCATCAAGAAAAAGAGGGAGAGGACTCAAATCAACAAAATTAGAAATGAAAAAGGAGAAGTTACAGTGGACACTGCAGAAATACAAAGGATCATAAGAGACTACTACAAGCAACTATATGCCAATAAATTGGACAACCTGGAAGAAATGGACAAATTGTTAGAAACGTATAACCTTCCAAGACTGAACCAGGAAGAAATAGAAAATATAATTACCAATCACATGTAATGAAATTGAAACTGTAATTTAAAATCTTCCAACAAACAAAAGTCCAGGACCAGATGGCTTCACAGGCAAATTCTATCAAACATTAGAGAAGAGCTAACACCCATCCTTCTCAAACTCTTCCAAAAAATTGCAGAGGAAGGAACACTCCCAAGCTCATTCCACAAGGCCACCATCACCCTGATACCAAAACCAGACAAAGATATCACAAAAAAACAAAACTACAGACCAATATCACTGATGAACATACACGCAAAAATCCTCAACAAAATACTAGCAAACAAAACTACAGACCAATATCACTGATGAACATACACGCAAAAATCCTCAACAAAATACTAACAAAAACGCATTAGAAGGATGATACAGCACTATCAAGTGGGATTTATCCCAGGGATGCAAGGATTCTTTAATATACACAAATCAATCAGTGTCATACACCATGTTAACAAATTAAAGAATAAAAAACCATATGATCATCTCAATAGATGCAGAAAAAGCTTTTGAGAAAATTCAACACCCATTTATGAGAAAAGTTCTCCAGAAAATGGGCATAGAGGAACCTAACTCAACATAATAAAGGCCATACACGACAATCCTACAGCAAACATCATTCTCAATGTTGAAAAACTGAAAGCACTTCCTCTAAGATCAGGAAGAAGACAAGGATGTCCTCTCTCACCACTATTATTCAACATAGTTTTGGAAGTCCTAGCCACGGCAATCAGA